TCAAATGTTATAAGATTATATAGACCAAAATAAGAATTGTAATACCCAAAATAGACAATACAGTGGAACATTTAAATTAATTTAAAAATGTTTTAAAATGTACAATTTCCCTGCTAATAAAATAAATGAATTTAATTGTAGATTGTATGCATGTCTAAATTACTGCAGGCAGTAATAGCAATAATAATAATAATAAATGGTTTCCCGTTATTACTTATGTCATTATTATTGTAAACCCTTTGTGCCCATTGAGCATTAGTGACTTTTGCATGTGTAACCGAAGTCTTCCTTTAAACAGCATTGATAAATATTCTTATGAATTTGTAATTTATGATACAGAGAGGACAGCTAGGCAATGTCCAAATCAAACCTGATGCTGCGGTTTTAAAAGGCTGACCAGTGCTGATTCGCTCGATCAATAAGTCCGCATCAATTGACTCTTGAACAGCCTTCATGTGTTGTGTGCGCGTCATAATATACATATGTACCAGCTGTATCTTATTTTGGAGTAAAATAGCATATTCATCTATACAACCTTATAGATAGATAGGCCTAGATAGATGTAATTTACCATTTTGCTGACCGCATTTCCTTCGGGAATGATTCATTATTGGAATTGCCAGAATGACTTTGCTTTTATTTTTGCTAATTCACTTTCACGCCTCTTTAGCACGTACCCACTCGGTCTTTCAATGGGCTGTGTTAAAGCCACCATAGAAGCACTAACAGATCCCTTTGTCACTATCTCAATTGTGACCCTAAATATATTTGTTCAGTCATTTGCTTTTGAATGTTATGCAGAGGATCTCCTGGAGTAAAGTTTAACATAGGAGCTTCACTGTGAGTTCTGCTCGGGCCACACACGACTAATGCTGCCTGCGCTCTTAAATAAAGTCTGCTGCATGCAGGCCGATTGGACATCAAGTGTGCCGGACAAAATGGCCCTTCGTCATTCATGTTAATTGAGTTTTAGCGAGAGGCACCCCTCCTGAAAACATTAAAAGACCTAAAGAGGAATTTATTAATTCAATTAATTTTAAACTAAACTAAAAAACAACTAAGTAGCAATATAGCATGCTTTTTTTGGATCAATTAAGGGTTAAAAAATACGTTAAGCATTCATTAGTAGCTATTTCCATAAAATTGCGAAAAATCACCCACCTTTATTTTTAAGCTTACGCACGTTTTATATTTGTGGGAATAGAGTTTACGCATATTTTCCATCCAACATTCCCTCTGTGCCGAATACCGTATCTACAACAGATCATAAGCATTTGTATTCTTTAATTCACATATTTTTGTAAGGAAGCTTTTTTGTGTGATGATCTTCAACTGGAATTCGTCATTTACACACCACATTCAAATTATTGCCCCAGCTTCACTATGAATGTCTGATAATATCTAGAATAAAAGAATGATCATGCGAATGGGCTTCCTCTGCTAAAGAAATGCAGGATAAATCATGTGAGAAAGTTGGATGATAAATGTGCCAATTGTAAACAGGCAACGGAAAGCTCCTGTGGAGGTGTGATCTCACCCAAGTAAAAACATAAACATGTGCGCTTCAAAAGGTCCTGGTTGTGCGTAATCACTCCACGAAATGCACCGCCATAAATAGAAAAAAAAACATGGAGAGGGAGAGGGGAACCCTGAGCTGCAACTGTCTATAAAAGCCCATTTGTCTTACGTTTAGACAGCAAATGCTTCCAGGTGAGGGTTGTTTAACCCAACAAGCATCACGGGGGTGACGTTTTTGTCTTAATAAATATACACTCAAAACTGTTTAAATGAACAAATTAAGTTCTGGCACATAAACCGGGACACTGTATACGTTTGTTCACCTACAACTCCATCTAAGGCTTACATGTCGGTGGTTTAGGAGTAAAACGGTAACATATAACAACAGGAGAGCATAAAAACAATAAATTATGTTAAACAGCATCGAAGTGGGGACTGACCTTTGGCCTTGCCTGGATATCATTTTGGTGTCTGTTTTCATTCCTTTTTTTCTGCTTCATCCTTCCATCCAACGTATTTTACAAGGAGCAACCACATCGCCTGTGAGCTACAGAGGACTGTCATCGACGCAATCTGTCTCCTCAGCATACTGATAGCAGCAGTTCAACAGCCAAGGCCTTTCCTACTGACCGTGGACCATGTTACGTTGACCCTTAGCAGAATTGCAGAAATGTAGCTCTCATTTCTCGAAAGACATAAAACATTTTTATTTTATACTGAAAATAATTGAAGTGGAAGTAGAGGTCGTGATCCTCAGACAATTCACATTAAAATCCTTGGAATATCCAAAAAAGCGAAAAGAAAAGCCCAGAGCCACAAGACAATCATTATGATAAGATTACCAAATACAAAAAAAACATATAAAACCACTCATTATTATTGTATAGGTCTCATTTCAGCCACATTAACGCACCCATTAAGCTCAATTAGATCAAGTGTATAAACAAAATCATATTATTATTAATTATTTATGTTTCCAGACACTAAGAACTCAGAAAGGAGTGAAATGCTGGGTGTAATAGGCCCATCGTTAAATAATTATTCGTAAATAAAATTACAATATTGAAAGTGTTGTTTACCTTCTACATGTAGGCTACATTTCATAAACTGATGTGAACACTAAACCCCCCCCCCCAAAAAACGGGGGTAAAACAGAAAATGAAACATTAATTAATTACGAGCAGTTTCTCGGGCTGTCTGACGGACCCGGAGAGACGCACGGGGAAACTTCTCCAACAGGCCGTTTGTTTCTCTCATCGCCATAAACCCAGGTATCCAAGAAAGAAGTCCCAGCAGCGGTCATTAATCACCCGTTTGTATTAAAAGCTTTGGTAAACCCCCAGCCAGGTTATCCGGGTACAATTTATGGCATCACTTATGGAGGGAATAGATTGTTCTAACGAAATACATAAACTCAAAGCTCGTGCGCAGCCAGCTCCCCATTATTGTCGAGAAAACACCTCTCTCTTTTCTCCTTGTCCCTCTCCCTTGCTCTCAGTATGCCTCTGTGCCCCTAACTTCTGAACAACAAGAATCCACTCATCCATGATTCAAGCCATGTGTTTTAAGTCAGAGATTCCCTATTGGGGTCCGGGGACCTATATAGGGGTCAGTGTGAGAGGGATCCAGGGGTCCATTGCAAAATAAAGAACTATACATTTTCAAAATAGTTTTCGTCAGGAGAAGTTGATAAAGTAATGAAAGCCATTTCCATCCATGGGCTGTAATTAATTTAGTTTACTTTATTCAACAGCAAACCTTCCCCTAAGTTTGTTTGATGATTGCTTCTAATATATGCTCTGTGAACAATTAAGTCACTTCTGAATTGGGACTCTTATCATAGCCTACCAGGGCTGCCCTTCTTATTTAATTGCAGCAATACAACATTATCAGATAAGCTTCACACTTGTTTTACCAAAGGAAACGTCTACTCGTGTTTTCTATTCGTCTTGTTCTGGCAGAAGTAGCAGTTGCAAAAAGCAATTTAGTCAGAAGTGTGATTTCAAAGTAATCAAGAAGCAGCGTACACTTTTCTCAGCACCGACTGTTCCAGGCCCACGGAGGGTTTACATTAGGGTTAATACAATAAGAAAGTAAGTTAATAAATAGACTTAAATCAAATGCAGGCAAGCTTAATCTTCATATGAAATATTTTTCGTTTTGAGGGCGTTAGATATTTAGTCCTAAAACGACCTTTGAGTGAAATAAAATGACGTTTCCTTTCGGTGCAATGCTTTACATTTAACTTACAGCATATGTCTCTACGTATTCACTGCATATAGCTAATGTTGGCTTTCAAGGCGTTGACGTCAAGAAGAAAATGTCCAAGCAAAGTAAAAGTTGCTTTAAAAAATAATTGGTCCTTTTAATAACTTGACTGAGGTATTTCACTCTTTATACATTGTGTGGACAGGTTGAGAAACAAGCTGAGAGAGAAAGGCGTTTACTGAGCCAATGGCCCACTGTCCTACTTTCCTACTGGCATTACAAGCCAACCGGGAGCCTCGCCTGGGCTCCAGCATTCATAGTTCAAGCTTTAGGCCCCTTTCAACCTTATTTCCACTGTTCCTTATTCCCATTCCCCTAAACAGAGCAGAGTGAGACATTCCGTAATGTAGCTAAGGAATAATAGAAGAGTGGGACACTATCTCGCAGTGGGGAAGACAGATAGAATTTCCCATTGATTTTACGCACGGCAAACATCAACACTCAGCTAAAACAGATGGCGTTGTTATTGGGAGCAACGATTATGAAATATGAATGTAAATCAATCAATGCCACTTTAAGAAAAAGCACTAAATACGCGAAAATCCCATCAATACAGAGAAAGAGTCGTGCAGTTTACTTGAATGTATATGAACAAAATAACATTCTGGGTTTTAAAGCGTTACTCAAGTGTAAAACAATGTTTAAATAATGTGAGTATAATAATAGACTGTTATCATTTTTTGAGTGTGTACTTTGACCCTAAAGTGATAGTCCACATGTCAAAAGGCCTGGCGTAAAGCACATAAATACACGCAGCCGACCTGGGGGAAGTGTCTGGGGGGGCTTGGAGCCGCGACTCCCCGATGAGATACAGTGTGGAGCTAATTTCCTTTAAGTGACGAAGAAAGCACTAGCATTCAACAATAGCTCATGTAACAAAAAAGAATACACAACTACTACCATTGAAATGGATGAGGCTTTGTTGATGCGCATTACAATTGTGTATTGAAACCTTTACTGGCCAGTGGCCACAGTGCCTGTTTGCGCAAAGCCACTAATTCCATTAGAGATCCCTTAAAACGACCCAGATGGCTAAGTCGAACATTATACGTTAGTTTTTAATTGGAGAATGATACAAAATGTAGAATGTGGGTATAGAGGAGCCTCACCCGCTGCGGTGCCCATGCAGCCTTAGAGAGGCTTGGGTGCTGGCTCACTTGATAAGCAGGGAAATACGCTTTAGGCATCGTACAACTGGATATGAAATATCTTACCTTCAACGGAGGACACCAAAGGCAGCAAGATGCTGCATAAAAGCAGAAAGTAATCCATTGTCATGAAGCAGTCAGGATGGACATGTAAATAGACCCAGGAGAGAGAGCGAAGGGAACACAATCCTGGGTGATCCGACGCTCCACGCACCCCCGTCCCAGTCCCTGTTCCAGCGGTGTCAAGGCTCCAGCACCAGAGTTACCCCCATTCACCAAAACACGCAAAGGTAGGTGTTCGGAGGATATAACACCTTCTGTGTAAAATGTGTGAATACAGCAGTCCTTCTCGATTTTCAATTATCTCCAAGGTGCCTTGTTAAACCAGAGAAAAGGCAGCGAGCGCAAGTCTTTCAGTCCCTTCCTCTCCTATTAAGCGAATCAGTTGAAAACAGGTAGTCCAGTCTGAGGTCACCATCCGGAGAATATGTCCAGCATTAATTATTTGTAAATCAATGGAGGGAAAAAATAAAAAGCAGCCTTTGCGAAAAGATCCAAATAGTTTCTCTGTGGTTACAGGAGCAGAGGCAGAGAGAGCCACACTTGTGTCAGAGACATGGTTTACAGTCCCAGCCAGGCATGTGCACGCTCACATGCGTCCACGATCGAGTCGTATTCCTGTGAAGAAACAGCCTCGCGGTTTATTGATATGTATTCCCTGAGCGAATGTATCAGCTTCGGCTGCAGTGTGGACCGTCTGCTTCGTTCGGCTCGTGCACTGGAATGAAGCACACGGCTGTAGAGGAATAACGGCAGAGTAGAGAAGTGAGATAGAGAGAGAGAGACAGAGAGGGGGAGAGGGAAGGAGGGAGGGGGGCAGCACAAGGAGGAGGGGTTACGGCTGAAGCAGCTGCATTGAAAAAAAATTCTACCTTGACAATCATTTCGTCTCATATTTGTTATCAAAATAAGATACGTGTTTAGGGTGCATTTCTATCTTTTTGGTTTCACTTATTTTCAGTAGGCCTACAGTCTAAAATTCAAATGTGCATGCCAAACGAACTGCTCTCCCAACTACTTGATTAAACATGTATGTGACAAAAATAGTTATTGGATATTTTTTTAAATAACTTGTGCAACATGTTAAATTGTATTTTCGCTTGAAATGTTGAGTTATTGCAAGGCTGGAATAAATAGCTTAATTATCGATTTGTGTTTTATTTATTTATTTATTATACAGCGCGTTTCTGTGCCTATCTCTTCCTTGGACTCAGCTCGTGCGCAGAGATGGACACACAGCGCCTCCCTGCGGGTCGCCCCGTTTCGATGCAAAGGAGAGTGGACGTTTCTGCTGACTTCTTTCTTTCATTGAAAACATTTCTCTTCAATTGCTTGACTTAAAAGAAAAAAATATTACGAGAAAGTTCTCTCGACCTGGACCCTCAAAATAAGAAAGAAAAAACACCTATGGCTATTCGAGGATGTTTTTTATGAAAGTGATTCAATGCATGTTATCCTAAACCTAGTTCGAAAAAAATATTTGGATGAACACAATGTGCAATGTAGGCTACGACTTCAATTCCAATGATACGCTCAAGAGAAACTTCAAAGTGTTCTACTAATGTCGATTTAAGAGTCCGTGGCATTGGGAGTTTTCTGTTAAATGCATGACGGCTGAACAACTTTCCTGGACGCGGTGCTTTTACTTGAGCGGAACATATAACTGCACAGTTAAATCGCCCGTTTGTGTTTATAACATATCGAAACATTACAATGATTTGCTGGGACAAAAGGAAGCAGACAGTGTTTTTTTCCTGTAGGATTATGGACCTGCCATTTCCTTGGATCTGTTGAAGAGGGGGTATGTGTCACGACCAGGCTTTTACAGCCTTTCTCCTCAATCTCTCTGCCTTTACAGTCTTTTTTTATTGTATCAGTGAGTGCCTCGGTGTATTCTCAAAACAGCAGTAGGGCTCAAAGAAGTTAGGGAATCTGCCAAGAATTGTGCGTTTAAGTCCAAAGGGCAACCTTTTATAACATTTACGTGTTATTTAGAGAAAAAACAAGTTTATTTCATGAACATTTCTCAGTCTAAACGGATATTAAAGTGATTTAAAATAACGGAAATAGTAATTTGGTCACTCAAATATAATTCAGTGATCTTGCAGGGGAGTTACAGGGCTGCTGACAAGAAAAAACATGTGCTCAAATCATGGCTCAAATACATTAATATTATTGCCCAAATTACCCAACCACAAAATAATATGTGCGAACATGTTTTGCTTAATCAAGCAATAACCAGCAAATGCATTTAATATAGTCAGACATATATTACTAGGCCAGAGATGACAGGCACAGTTCAATGAGAGGCTGAATTGGCACAGTCAGCATTAATACTTGTCTACCTAATAGCAAAAGTGGACTGCATTATTAATCATGTTGAATATCTATGTGTGCTCTGCTGTATTTTGAGATAAGAAAGAAGGGGAGAGTTGAACACCCCTCTTCAAATAAAGTTATTAGTATTAAAGTCAATGTAAGGGATTTGCAGTATGGCTTCAACTTTATATATGTGCAAAGAATAACACATATGTTACAATGGAATTTGAAGGCTGTTCCCTGCACTTATATAAAGAACAGTTTTTCAGTGGGTTATGAGGAAACTAGACCTGTGAAATGTCAAAGTGAAGCCAAACAACTGGTCTGGTAGTGTAAAGTTGAAAGGTGATTTGATGCCATTTCCTGAGAGGCGTAAGCAGACAGATGTAACTATGTGCTCTGTCGTGTGTCTGTGATTTATGAGTCAGTGTTGCCCCTGCAGAGTTGACTGGTAATAAATAGTTTAAGAAATAATCTTGTGCCATTTGGCTAGTTTGTGTAACTGACTTTCAGTTTTACAGTGATCAACACGAGTTTCTTTTTTAAACTTGTTATCACCTCTAAGCTAGTTTTTAAATGTAAAAAGGCAAAACTGTTTGCTTATACTCAGAATACATATTTTCACTAATGTAGCATATTGTTTATTCATACTGATCAAAAACAGTGAATTACATTTCTGATGATTAAAATAATTGTTACAATCAATTTGGCAGAATTTTTACAATACTTGAAGAGCTCTAAATCCCAGCTCCTACCCAGCTCCTACTAAAACATGTTTTTCTCAGGATTTTGAGGCTACCAGATACAAAAAGTATTTAGAAAAGGTTAAAGTGGATGTGATGACAAACTCGTTCTACTCCATGCAACATGCTGACTTTTCAAAGGGATCCCTTATGTATACAATTGTTTATGTTTGCATATATAGAATATGTAGATCTTGTAGAAACAAAAAAAAGTATTTCTGTATACAGAATATTACTATTATTATTACTAATATATTACAATTTGCTCTATTGTCCAACCTTTTACGACAAAATAAACAACACCATGTTATTACCAGTGCTTTTCTGAAGTTCTTGGGCCTGTTCTAATTATCTGAAATATATCATATCTATTCAAAAGGCTGTGAGACATATTTAATTACTCTAGTAAATTACACATTTATTTTTTAATATAGATAATCATTTTTGAATTTGGGTCTCGATGTCCCAAAATATTCTAAAACATTTTTAAAAGTTAAGTCTTGCAGGCATGACATTTGTCAGAGTCCCATAACAATTCCTGTATACCTCACAACGACATAGTCTGTTTGAAAGGAACATTATTTTATAAGTGAAGCGACATGAGTAAGAGGATCTGTGGCGGCTTCAAAGAAGACTGTCTCGTTTGTTGCCAAAACCACTGAAGCCCGAGCTCTCCTGCCTGGACCCTATTAAAGGGCAACCAGAAGCACACCAAGTTCACGACAGCCACCTCTGTTACTTCTATACGCTTATGACTGCTCTTAAAATGAAATGAGGTAGAAAGATTTTAGAGCAACTTTGCTAAGAAAAGAAAACATATATTTCACAGATTCTTGTCAGGAGTCTGTTTCACCTTCTATCAGAAGATCAGAAAGCAAAACTCTTGGTCAATGATAAACAAAAGATTACCAGTCATAAGTCTGAGAGAATTGCTGAACCCCCAACTGTTTGCCAATGTAAAAAAGAAGTGTTCAAACCATAAATATGGACTTGGTATAAACCAACACGCTTTTTCAATGACTGGAACGTCCACATTAATAAATCAACGGTCCTGTGCTTCATAGTAACGGTTAGGTTTTTACTAAACTTTTTTGAGTACGTTTATTTTTCTACGTTTTATAGTGTGTGTCATTTGACTCCGGTTTGACGGTTGAACGTTTTCTCGTCAATGAATGGCAGCAGTAAAACTGTATATATACAGCCGTGTAATAAACCCTGCAGCGGGTCGAGATTAGAGCTGAAAGACACACACACACACACACACACACACAAACACACACACACACACACACACACACACACACGCCTATTTTCAAAGATAATGCATTGATGTTTTGTTTTTTTACTTAACTAATACCCATAACCGAAACAAGTCTGACCCTCATCGGTCCTACCTTATAATCTCCCAAATAAGGACATGAGGATTTTTTTGGCTCTTTCTGAAACAAATATGTGGACATCAATTTTGACCCTGAAGCAGTGGCTGATCTGGCTTGGAGTCCACAATTTGTTCCAAATGTTACTTAAAATAAACACATACAGTACACAGACAGAGAAATGGCCCACTTAGTGTTCGTGAGAAGCACATGGCACACATTAGAAACTCAATAAGTAATGTGGCAGACATTTTACTACCATATGGAAATTTCTCAAGCTTACACCTACTGCGCCCTCGCCAGACCCTCGCTAACCTCATCCATCCTTCCTCCCACTCATCTCATGCCAGGATATCAGTGTCTCTACTTTCTCTCTTAAAACACACACACACACACCTACACACACACACACACACACACACACACACACACACACACACACACACACACACACACACACACACACACACACACATACACACACACACACAGGACATTTTCTGACACACACTTAACTTCTCCTTCCCTTCCTCCCTCACAAATCACATGCCCGGTCGCAAATACAAACACACACAGTCACCCCCCTCTAGCATGCATAAAAATCTAGCAGACTTCACACACACAGACACACAGACAAACACACACATACCCTGTAGCCCTTATGTCTGGGTATGGTCTAATAGCAGCACTAATGTGATGTGAGTGTGAGGGGATCGCTTTACTCTGGCAATATTAAGGGAATGGTGAGCCGTTGGTTATGTTAGAGTGTCTTTTGACATGTGTGTGCACATGTGTGTGTATGGGTGTGCTTGTTCATGTGTGTGTTTGAGTGAACAAGTAAAGAGTACTGGTAGTACTGGTGGAGGAGGAGCTGGTGTTGGGCGGCTCTGGAGAATCTCACAAGAGCTCAAAGCTGGAATCCAGGCATAAATGTGGTGCATGTGTGTGTGTGCTTATGCATGTGTGTGTGTGTGTGTATGTGAAGGTAACGGGAGTGCAGTTTACAAGAGTTTTGGGGGTGGGGAGGGGTGGTGGTCTAATCCTAAAGGCCTTCACCACTGCCTGAGCACTTAACACAGGATCACGAATGCAGTCTCAACTGAACCCCCTCGAGACCACCATCATCCACCCCCCTCTATGCACACCAGCAGAAACACACACAAACCTAACACCAAATCCAGTGTCACCTTCAGCTGTAAATCAGCACCTCTTTGCCGACCCCCCCCCCCCTCCTCTCCTCCCTTAAAAACCACCATCACCCGAACTTCTGCCACAACAAGCTACTGTCCGTCTAGCAGGTATCTATAACCTTTC